CATTGATGGACTCAAGTGTGGCAGCGGTAGTGAGGCTGGCCCAGAATCCGACATTGTTTCGTACTGCTGTGCATGGGGTCTCTATGAGTCAGTTCCGACTCTATGGCACCTAACGTCAACAACGACAACAAGTTCTTATTTCAGGTCAGCAGTTGCTTAAATTTACAAAGAACATATTTGAGCATGAAAATGTACAAAGAAGTTAAACGCAGTTTTAATAATTTTTATTTGAGCTAAAAAAATGTCTTTAAGTTTACAGCATTAATTTATCCCCAGATATATCTTCCATTTGATCAGTATAGGAAGTGAATTTATCTTAAGAAAAAACTAGCTTACCAACTGCCAAAGTACCCCTTTGGAAAATGTTCACTGAATTTAGAAAAGACCTGCCTCGTAAAACTTACCAGATTTGGGATACGTGGAAATTAGAAGGTCATCTGATCGGGCCTCAAATGACTCTACCTGGGACCACTCTTCAGCCATGCTCCAGAAGAGAGGAACACCGTGAACATCCACCAACTCCCTCCTGAAGACATTGGGCTTGTTATCCATTTTCGAGAGCCTAGATTTTAAATAAAATTTAGAATATTAAAATTTTTATATCATTGCTATTACTTTAGATCTGGCACTGTTAGACCACAATACTGTGCAGTATAAATCAGTGGTAGGAAATACTGTATTGTAAAAGTGAAAGAAGTCTTGTACAGTTGCAAGTATGCTGTTAATATATTACAAATCTTTTTTTGTTTGTTCAGTGACTCTTATAGCATTTGCACAAGCAAAGGTTTCTGGATTATGTGATAAATTATTGGACTTTGGAATCAGGGAAAAGTTGTCTTAACCATATGTGAAAGTCTTGTGACTACAATGAATCTTTTAAACTATAAAATCAGGAGTGGATTGAATTGATATTTCTGTCCCATAAATTACAAGGTGAAATGGTAAATTATGTGCTGTGGATTAATGCACTGGACTGCAAAGTAATTTTTATCTGCAAGGTTGGCAGTTCAAACTCACCAGCTGTTCTTTGGAAACAGTACAGGATTGCTATGGGATGGAACTGACTCGACAGTGCTTAATAACTACAGCAGACCATAAGAGTGAGAGAAAAGTGGGGTTGGGGGACACTAACCAGAGAAATTAAATAACAAAAAGCCCACAAGATGGATAGGTAAAAGAAATAAACTAGAGGCAATTCTAGTATTTGAGATACATTGTTATGAGTATCTTTCTAACACCAGTGATTTGTGATTACACAATATCATTTTATGTTTTCAGTAAGACTTTAATAAAAGTTTATTTATTCATCTTTTCGCTATTATAAGAAGTGAAAGGATTTGAACTGTATCCAAGTCTTCCTCCCAAATATGTCTTTTTCCCGTTTAGCATAGGGTGACTGTTATTTTTCATCTCCTAAAGTCCTGGTATGGCACAACAGATTAAGCACTGGACTACTAACCTCAAGGTTGGCAGTTCAAACCCACCAGGTGCCCCTTGGAAACCCTATACAGTGTCACTATAAGTTGGAAAAACCCAAGAGCATCTAACAGCTACAACAAAGTCCCAGAGTTTTGGAAAAAAGTTTGAAAACTCAAGTTATAAATCTTCCAGAGACGTTGTGTCAGCTGCTGAACATCTCTACAAAAATTAAAATACAAAGCCTCTCGAAGAATCGACCTGATTTAATCTGTGCTTTTTCTCCAGTGCAATTATTTAACTTCTTTCTTTCTTACATTCTCTTTCTACCAAACCTATCAATTCATTACCACTCAAATAATTTAAATTAAAAGGGTCATGGTAAATAAGATCTTTATCTAAGAGTAGTCACATAATTTCAACGTTTTGTTAAATAACTCATTATCTGATTATATTCTTTAAAGATTAACTTTTCAAAGTAGTTAATGCTTATTCCATAGCCTAATATTTTTTTATTTTATTTTTCTTTAATGTTTTATTGTGAATTATGTGATAGTTTACATGGGAGAACATTAGTTTTACATTCATTCTATCCTATATTGTCTCTCATTGCCATGGTTAC